AAGCAAAAAGATCATCCAAATGAATTCGAGAACGTTCAAAATGGATATTTCCGTTGAAATAGAATATCAGAGGATTTTCGCGATTACAATACTTCCTTTACTGCGTACAAGGAAATAATACACAAATTTCAGAGGGAAATATGGTTGCAAAGCTGCAACTTAAAGGAAATGCCGGCAGGGCACCACCAGGAATGGAGCCTGCAGCTTAATTTGTCTCAACACGGGAAAACTCACATGCCCGGACACAAGAAGGATTGACATATCAAGAGCTCTTTTTTGATTCTGTGGGTGGTTGTGCATGGCCGTTCTTAGTTAGTGGAGCGATTTGTCTGGTTAATTCCGATAACGAACGAGATTGTAGAGACATTAGGTTATTTCGAAGCAGGAGAGATGAAAAATGATCAACGCCCTCGCAGGGAAACAAACCACGGACCTTTGGAATACGCGCCCTGTGTGCTGACCGCTACACTAAAAAGGCATGCTAAGGAGGCGGGAGAAATACCTTATTTCTAAACTCTAGCTTCTAAACAGATGCTCCGATAAGGAAATAATAAACAAATCACAAAAACTTTCCAATTGGAACAAAACTTGAGAATACATAATGACAACCTATTATCCTTCTTCACTTTAATTAAAGTTTTCTTTGACGCATACAAAAAAAAAAAAAAAAAAAACCATTGTAAGTAATTATAAACTCCTTTATTTCTTACAAAAACTTCAAACTACACCACCACCTTATGGTATTACGCTTTTGCTGAAAGTTTCTAACCTTAGGTTAAAAATTTCTAAAAACTAATACCTCTGTCACGAATTGTAAAGCCAGTCTATTTCTTTTTTTGACTCGTTAATGCTAAAGTGTGTGTGTGTGTGGATGGGGGGGGGGGCAAGATGATAATTCTTCTTGCAAAAGTTCGTAACTGGGGGCATTAACTTTTGAGAAGAAAAAATAAAAAGGTTAATCAAATCTTTGAATACGATTTATATCACAGAGTAAATAAATTAGTTCCATTTGTTGATATTTTCTGAGGTGTTACTCTCATTCCCATTTAATGTCAATGAATAGAACGTAAAACTGGACTCGAAATCCTTAAAATCATAACATTTTCTTCTAGTTGTTGCCCTAGTAACGAATATCATAATAATGTTAACAGGGCCGTTCTTAGGCCATTGGCTGCCCGCGTACTTTCTTAGGATTGCCGCCCCCCAAATAATAATATAATAATAATAATAATAATATAATAATAAATGCTCAATGATTGATAAAATTTTTATTTCATGCTCACTAAGTGCTCACATATGACATATTGTATAAAAAGTACTTACAATGAATTTAAAATATTTAGCTGTGGTAACGCGAGAGTCCGGTCGCCCGAATTTCGCCGCCGCGTACGTTTTCGCGCTGCACCCCCACAAGGAACGGCCCTAACTGTTAATTTACTTACGGGACATACATTCACGGCTCGCATAAAATTAATTCGGTCGATGTATGCCTGCACTAGGCTCAAACTATTGGATCAAAATGTGGAAATAATGAAAAATGCAATCACACAAAATCAAACGTTTAATTTAAGCGCTCAATCATTAAACACAAATTTTAATTTTATAGGAAAAATATACGAATGAAAATTAATAACTTATTTTCGAATTTTCTTTTTTGTTCATTTGCATTTTGGAAAAGCGAAACTTCTGTTACAAAATATCGCTATCGAACAAGGAACAACCAATTTTTACATCCCCTTCCCTTTTCTCGGCCTACTCAAACCTTTGCGAATGCCCCAAAACGGAACAGGTTGTTATGCTGACGTCACCGAGCGAGCTAAACAGATTCGCGGTCACCTGAAGAAGACCACTGCAGACAATATTCTGCGAGTCTTCGGCGCAACTCGGCGAACGGCGTTTTAAAAATAGTCACCGACCTCGAGTTTGCAGCACGCCCACGCCATATCGATTCATCTTCACCTTGGAGGGCGGGCAGCCTCAGCATTGACCTTGGGCGGCCAATCAGATGAAAGCCCGGATTCATCACTCATCATCCAGTAACATTTAATACCTAATGAACCAGGGTCGATCGGGCTTGTTGATGTTTGCCTTTTCTAAACGTAAACGAGAACAGTGCTCTTTAAAATAAAAATATTGATCTTGCAGCACTTGAAAGCATTTTCACAAGATAAATGGTTTAATGATAAATAATAGAGCAGTTATTGAATCAAAAACTTTGCAGTTACTGGATCAAAAAAGCAAAATTAAAATGGCTTTCAAAACAAGCTGGTCAGCAGATGAATAATTCTTCATGCTATGGCTTGTTACACATCGCTTTTTTTTTTTTTTTTTACTGCATTATATGTTTTTTGTGTTATGTAATAAATGTGCCAATTATTAAAAGATGATAATAGTTTAAGTAATGGTATAGAGGTAAAAACATTTGAACATACTGAAGGGGAAGACTCAGATAACCGGCACTTGGCGCAATTTTTTCCGCCATCTTGAATCAGAGAAAATCGCCAAATCCTCGGAAGGATTTTTTTGACGCCAAGAGGGAAATGACGTGAAAAGACGCTTTACAAAATTTCCCTCTTTTCCTTACAAAATTTCCTCGTATCCGGCTCCTTTATCGTGTGCGTAAGCTCCAGTGTTGTGGTATTTGCCATAGTGGGAGGCTGTTGAAGAGACATGTGACAGTAAAGCTCCAATCAAATGAAAATGTGAAAAAAAATCTTACCAGGTTAAGTATTTTGGTTCTTTCTTTATAAATGCCTAATAGTTTCTCATCTTGCCTGATTCCATCAGATAATTTGGAGTTATTTGTGATGTACATATTTAATAACAATATTTAAATCAAAATTTTAAAAATAATGCTTTGGGTTATTTAATTACGGCAAAGCCTCGAGGGCTATCTGCCTAAGGAAGGGATGCCTTCGTGAAGGACTTTCTAAGGGAAACTGGCTCGTATACACGTTACACATGGGGAAAACCACGAAAACGCCCATGCAGCCAGCCCATTCGCGGGATTCGAACCTCTTTCCGAACTACCAGTATTCAGCGATTTTACCGCTCGGCCGCTGGTGGGCAACCATTCATTGAAATAACCTTGACTTAGGAAAAAAAAAAAAAAAAATTCCCGTTTTTTTTTTACAGGTTTTCAAAAACCAGTTTCTTTTGAATTTATTAGCACAGGAAGCAGAATTTTTTCCCCTTAGACGAAAATAGTTTTCAAGTAGGTAAAAAAAGAAATGTAATCCTGAATTGCATAACTGCAGGGAAACAAGATTTCTAACAATATATTTCAGGAATATATTTCGGTTATGTATTTGTTGCAAATATGGTGATGCAAAAATTTCAATATTTATATTCATTGCCATTAAAAACTAACATGAGTAACAACACAGCAAAAAAATCTATGAAGATTATTCAAAGATTTGATGATATAAATTTAATTAACTTTTATTTGTTTATCTGTGAAAGAATTTTGCTCAAGTTTTGTATAATAGTTTAATTTTTTTACTGATACACCGAACTCCCCAAAATCCTCTATGTAAAGAAATCAGTGAAATATACTTGACTTAGAAAAGTAGCAGAATATTGTTTCTTTAATATTTTACATTAACTTATTAGCATTTCAAAGTCTTATAAGCATTTTATTTCAATATAAACTTGATTAGGAGGGATTAAAAAATTGATTGTATGATACAGAGTGTCAGTGAGATAGCAGTAAAAATGTTGCACACTGGTAGTTCGTCTTGGAGTTCGACTAATGGATTTCTGCCATCTTAAGCAAATAACCCGTGAGTGCTTTTCTCATTCTAAATAATTCGTGTTAGGAGTACAATTAATTTATTTTAGAAATTAATTCCTGTTTGTTAAGGCTAGATAAATAACACCCATATACTTAAATATTAAGTAAATAATTTTAAAAATGTGCCCATGCAAACGATAAGTTAGAAAAAGACCATATGTTATCTACTTTGTTGTACTAATTATAAGGGTAATTAATTTATAAGTTCATTAAGTTATTTAGAAAATAATTTACAAGGTAATTAAACGGCAACTAGAAGCACAGTATTAATATTATTTAAATAATTATGATTTAATTTCATAATACTTAGTTATTTAATTTTTAAATCATTAATAATTTTAATAGTAAGTTTATTTTCTGAAATGTTTTTAGTATAGCAAAAATAGCATATGGTTTATGGCAACTTGAAGCCCGTCTCCGGTAATTAAATAATTATGATTTTAATAGTATTTAGACATCTAATAGATTTTAATAGTCTAATAAATAATAATATTTTGTTCTAATAAAATAATTAAATAGTGAATGATCATACGGAACAACAAACAGCATATGAGGCGTATGCGCCACGTCTACTGACAAAGTTACGTGATCAGCACGACGATTCATCTGCAAAGTCACATGACAGCCAAAGCAAAGTATTTACATATAGAAAGAAAATATCCCTTCGCTTCTCCCTTTCTCCCTAGCATAGTGAAGATCTAAACTAGCAACCTAAGCTATCCTCTCATTTTATGGCGCGTATTGCCGAAGTTCACCAAGTGCCGATTATCTGAGTATCCCCTACTGAAGTACCTTATTGTACGTATGCAGCATGAATCCTTGTTGATGATGAAAAACATTTTGAGTTTTGATTACAATAAAGCTGATTTCATTCTGCCACTCTATCATAAATATCTGGTTGTCATGTGTTTACTGAGTTTAAAGGTTCTCTGCTTTCCTGCAAAATAATAATGTCAACACAAAATTTGCTCTGCTATGCAACTTGATAATTGTCATGTTTAACTACATATCCATAACATTTTCCCATCATCTTTCACTATAGAACATCCCAACATACCTGCACACACATACATATATAAAAAAATTTTAAAAAAATCCTAATATTTCTTAGAACATTGCCGATTTAGAATTTTTCTTGACATCATATACACATACTTAATACATATAAAATAACAACCAACCAACCAAAAAAAAAAAAAAAAAAATCTTAAAATTAACATATTTTATTAAATAAAGCAATTATTTTACAAAAACAAGTATGAAATTACTTTTTATGGGATTTTTTAATATTATTTGGATTTAATTTGTGGGATTTTGGAAAGGTAAACTTTAAAAAGTGAACGTCAATATCTTTAGAATCCTTTTTATGCCACCGATATGTCTGAGGTAGGTCAAATTTTAGCTGAAATAAACTTTCCATCTTCACATTTGAACTTTTAGCAACTTTATCAATATACTGAAAATGAAAAATATATAATATAAGAACACAGAAATATAATAAAATAATATATAAAATGAATTCAAACTACAATTAAATTGTTGACAGAGTTGCTTAATGTGGTGGTTTTTCCAATTTCTTTCACCCATTAATTTTCTTATATATTCTGAAGTATATTTATAATAAAGATATCAGAGGTTAGACAGCTTAACATGCATAGGTCATTTCACATTAAGAAATACTTTCTTAAATTTTTATTTTGATTGAATTAAAACTGATTTTGCTTTACAATCCTTCATATTTCCTACCTAATCTTATTTATAGATGCATATCTACCAGTGTCTATGCATTTAACTTTCTTGGACATTTTTGTTTAAAGATTGCACAATTATGTTTTTTCACACTACAAAGGTTGTTTACTGAATTTAGAATATAGTACAGAGTCTGAGATCCGGATGTCCAATATCCGGAATGATCTAAAATCCGGACCTCAAAATTGCCAACAACTTGTTTTAAAAAATGCTTTATGCATGCGCATTTGATTCCCCCCCCCCCAGATAAAACATGTGGAGAGTCCCCCCCATTCTTAATTTCTCTTGGGTACTAAATAAATACCTCGTTATCGAAGAAGCAATGATTTAGCATTAATTTGGGTGATCAATGATTTGGCTCTGTAGCTGAGTGTCTGCCTGACATACATCTCACACCAAAACATTCTAGATAGAAACATCGTTGATTTTATACCTACTAATATTTTATATTCTTGACCCTAACCAGGAGAATCATTATTTACTATATCTTGCTCTTATCACTGCATGTTTATCAATGCATGACAAATTCAGTAATGACTCATGCAGTGATGCCCAAACAATTTTTTTTTAAGTACTAGTATAAAGATTATGGTAACCTATTATATTAACATTCTGTTTGGCAATGATTACAGATTTAAGTTAAATGTACTAAGAAATACTGATAAGAAAAACTTTAACAAAAATCTCTTTCCAGATGCTAAAAATTAATTTTGTTAATGATACTCATAGACCAAAAGATTACATTTAGGGCTATCTGAATTAAGAATAACTGATTTGTTTCTCACATAAACTCAGAACCGGCGCCAGAGCTCATATAGCCACACTGGATGGCACAATTTAAGGAAGACAAGATTTTTGGAATTTAGGGAAAGCACTGGGATCCAAAATTTATGGGCAGCAAAAATTTAGAACTTAAGGGAGGCACTTGGTAGCAGAATTTAGGACCCGCCGAGATTGCATCAGGCAATAAGATATCAAGCGTCTTTTTTCATTACTTCTTCTTAAAGACAGAAGAGCACTGTTCTAAATGACATGCTTTGATTCCATTGGTGAGTTCATGAGGCATAAACGTCCTGAGCCTTCATACTTTTATTATTATTGTTGAGTACTGTGAAATAGTTGAAGAAAGTACATTTACTGTCTAAGTCATGTCTTGTGTTTGTTATGGATCCGGTTCTAATAAATCCTTTAATTCTTTCAAATCAATGCAGGATGGATAATGACCATAAAATTTATTTTGTAGTCTTAAATCTGAGTGAAATTTTGCAAACCAATGGTGAGCATGTGTCTCGTTAGTTGTTTTTTCATTAAATGTTTCATTGATGCTCTTTACTTCGACCTTTACAGAATTTCCCAATTTTAACTCAGGTATAACAATCTCAATTTACTAGGTTCTGTGACTTATTGGATGTTAATATCACTCAGTGTTTAATACTTGCTGAATGAAGCAAATATTAAAATTGTAATGCTCATGTGTGATGTTATTAGAAGGCACAAAAAATTGCATATATATCAGAATTTGCACTCTTCCAAACCACTAAAAACTAAGGTCATTCAACTGTCATTTTTGCAACAACCCACAAATTTTAAGAATGGGGAAAATGCAATTATAAAAATAACCAAGTTCAGTGTGTATGTGAAAAATTTTCAAATTTCTCACAAAAGCTGCATTAAAAATTATATGCAGTTTATTCTGATTAACTTTCAAACCAGAACTCAGATGAATTTCTTCCACTAAAATAAATCAAGTTCAAAGAGACCAAAAAATGCTCTGTCTATAAAAGTTATTATATATAAAAGTAACTACATTATAAATACCTCATAATTAAAAACAAACCATTGTTTCATTATATTTGTTAAGAATTCAAAGATAATATTTCATTATATTTTAATTTTAGATTATATAATAATCACAGTGACAGAATATCCATTATCATTGTAAAATAAATAAATACATTATATATTATATCTATTCATATGTCAGAAAAGATGTATAATAAAAATTTTTAAAAATACATATACTAAATTAAATTAACAAAAAAGTATTATAAAAATTTAAATACACAAGTATATCAAAAGACATTGTTTACTATACTTACTCTGACTGTTGAGGATTTATGTAAACTATATACAGAATGTTTAGCTAATGAAAAAGCAGTCTTCAAAAAATTAATATCAATACCTGAAATATATTACAGAAAATTCAAATTATAATCTGACATAATGAACATTTTTTAACAAAAACAATAATGCATTAATTAAAAATTTTTTTAAAATGAAAAACTAAATATGTACACTAATAATTTTAAAAAATTCAACCTTTGGTTATGTATTGATTTCAAATGATAGAAATGAAAGTAGGTTAAAGATAAATGATTCAATTTCACTCTTCTGAAACTAATACTGATATATAAGTTCAACCATTCAATTAATTACACAAATAATTAGCATTATATAATAAAATAGGAAGGGGAAAACAGATATTACTGAATACAAAGCTACACATACTGACTTCTAAAATATAATGGATATTTCAAAAACATTTTTACAAGGAATATGATACTTTGATATTTTTATGTTATCTCGGCAAAATGTTAAAAAAAAAAAAAAAAAAAAAAAAAAAAAAAAAAAAAAACCCTCCATACTTAATTGCTAAAGATGAGAGCTGACTGAAAACTAACCCTGCTTGAAATAACCTGATACACGCTTGAAATTTTTTATGTAATTAAAGTCTACCTATCTGATTATACTGAAATGAGCTTTTGAAACATTTTGAATTTTAGAATAATTTACAGAATATTTTGTTAGGCATAGTAAACTTTAACACGTTTCTCACACAAAAAAATAATAAATTTTTTTTTCTTAGTTTATCACAAAATGCTCAATTCAGTACATATTAGGAAACATAATAAATAAGCCATAAAAATTTTAGATACCTATGAGCAGTAGTTCCTGAGAAAAGGTTCATCGATTAAAAAAAAACATTTGGAGAAAAATGCATTTTAAGTAAAAATTATCATTTATCAAAGCATTCGATGACAAATTAAAATTATATTTTTTACAGCTCTAATTTTCATAGAAATTAAAGAATGGTATTTTTAGAAAGCTAAAATTGTAGAGCAACAACAGCTGAAATCATCACCCGCTACAACAGTGGTGACCCAGACAGTGTTTCTCAACACAATGTACAGCAGATATTGCTGCATATAAGCCTACACAGCAGGAGGTCGAAGCATGTCCTTGCACTGACGGCACGTCATCCACAGCTGCGTCTGCAATGGGCCAAGAAACATTGGAATAGGACATTAGAAGAAAGTTGCAAGGTCTGACGAATCACGTTTTCTGGTCCATTACATTGACAGGTGTGTGCTAATACGCCGATTTTCAAAGGAACCCTGGCTCCCAGATGACCAGTTGGACAGAGACAAGCCGATGGTGGGGGTATTATGATGCAGGCAAATGTTTTCATGAAGCACATTAGGACCCATAATCCCCATAGAACAATCAACGACGTCTGTGCATTACGTGAACATCACTACAGACCAGGTTCACCCAATCATGATAACAGTATTTCCAGCGAGAAATGCAATTAAGGGAATAATGCACTATGTCATAAGGATCAAAGCATCAGGGAGTAGTTTGAGGAACTTTTCAGTGACTTTCAAGTCATGCCTTGGCCTCCAAATTCAACTGACATTAATCCAATAGAGCATTTATGGTCTCATCTGGAAAAATTTTTCGCACATTGCAAGGAGTTTGCCACGCTACTCCCTTGCAATGTGCGGGAATCACAGGGCCAGTTGGTGAGCACTTGCTACCAGATACCTCAGACTACCTATCAGCACCTTATGGAATCAATGCCATACCGGGTGTTGGCAGTTTTGAGGGCTAAAAGGTGGTCCTACATGTTATTAACAGGGTGGTCATAATGTAATGCCTCTTCGGTGTATATATGTATAAATAATCAAATTTAGGAGCATGCTTGCCAACCTATGACACTTAAAAATCAGGAGATTTTTCACAATGTTAAAAAGACTTTTTAAATGACAAAAATATAGTTTTTAATAATGAATTTAAATGGTAACTAATTCTTAAATGCAAGCAACACAAAAATACCTTACACATAAAAGAACATTTTTATTACCTGCATCGTTTAAGGGGGAAAAAAAAAAAAGACACTTTAATCAGTTTTCGTACAAATGTTATAAACAGTGGCAGATTTTGCTTTTTTAAGAAAGAAACTTCATAATTTTGTTCACAGCAATTGCCACGTAGGCCTGCTTTCACTAATAAAAGTTTTTCTAATGTGTCATCACTAATATTAGATCTAAATTTAGTCCTCGTTTTCGCAACAACACAGAAAATCCTCTCACACTCTGCATTACTATGGGGAACTGTCAAGATAGCCAACATAATTCTAGACAGTTCACTATATTTTAAAATTCCACCAGCACCTTTCAATTTTCCAATTAAACTTCACTGGGTCTCAATCCTAGCTAATTTTATAACTTCATCCAAGTTTTCTAATTGTAAACTGCTGTTATGCAACTGTTGGAACTGTTTCAATTTTTCCTTCCTTTTAGAACTCCTTTCAAGACAATAATAAATATCAACAATGTGTTCATCCACATTTTTTGGTAAAGAAGCTGCCCCTTTTTCAGCTGCTAAATTTAAGAGGTGACAAGTGCACCTCATAATCTGCAAATCTGAATTTTCCTTTCTTAAGACGCCTGCAACACCAGTCTTCAAGCCTACCAATACTGGTGCATTATCAGCACCAAATGCTAAGCAATTATCCAGAGGGACTGCATTTTTTAAAGTTTTAGTAATTAGCTGTGCTATATTAAAGCCTCAAATGTCCTTCTAAAGTGGGGATAGAAAGTAAACTGCACTCAATTTCTGAAGACTCTAAATTAAAAAAAGAAACAGCAATTGGATACAGTTTTGAATCGGTATTATTGCTTCCATCCGTAGAGAGGCAGAACGGAGCTGTTTTAATGCAATCAATAACTGATGATTTATTTTTCAAACCCATTTCTTTAACAATTGCACCTGTTTGGGTTCTTGCACTTGAGTATTTCTTAGCGATTTCACTATCGGGAAGCATTTTTCTAAATAAAGCTGTATCGTGATCTGATGCATTCAGTGACAGGTTGTGCTCCAGTAAAAAGGCAGAGAACAGACATTCTGCATTAATAACTTTTTGGTCATTTGTTTCCAAAGAAACATTTAATTTAAATTTTAATAAATTAAAATTTTAAAAATCAATTGCTTTTAGACGTCTAAAATCACTTTTTTTTTTGTTTATATCACAAAGTATTAAGCTAAGTTCCATAAAAATTGTGAGAAATTTTAAGAATAAGAAAAATTCGGGAGAAATATATTGTAAATCGGGTTGGCGGGAGAGAGGTCGAAAATCGGGAGTCTCCCACCTAAATCGGGAGAGTTAGCAACTCTGTAGGAGTAAAAAATTTTCTCCATATGTTAATAAATCCATCCTGTAAATGATGCTAATATCCTAATTAGAAGACGCATTAATGATGGTTTTATAAATATCAGCTCTTTTTTAAAGTGCTGCTATATTGAAACATTAAAACTGCACTTCAAGCTTGCTTCTGAAATTAATAACATTTTCAATAAAAGAGATTCTGAAGTATCCTAAAGCATGGAGAAAAAAGTTACAAATTACAAAAAATGCAAATTTTAAGATATTAATAAATTTTAAAATACAATACTGAGAAAATACTTAACATTTTAAGGTCAGTTAGATCTAAGACCCATTTTTTTTTTTTTTTTAAATTTAAAAGTACAAAGTAAAAACACTGGTATTTTGAAAACTTAAAAAAAAAAAAAAAAAAAAAAAAAAAAAAAAAAAAATTGTAACTTTTGTTTGTAATAAAACTTTTAATACACAGAAAACTAAAAAAGAAAAATTTGTTGTTTGCCCTTCTAAGTTAACAGTTTTGAGATGCAAACAATTGTTTTCTATTGGCTTGAAAGAAACTAATTTTCCAAGATAATAAGTGCCTTGCAATAACTAACTACACGGTTGGACAATTGCTATGGACGGACGACAATAGCAGCGACACAAACCACAGAATGGAAGGCAGGAAAATATGCATATTAGCACAAGTGTGGGATACAGTAAGATATGCATGCAAATTTTGGACTGCCGAAGTTGTTCATCATATGATAGTGCTGATAAGAGGTATAAGGGAGTTTACGCATATTGATCATTGTTTTTCAAAAGCAAAATTTAATGGAAACAATCAATTGATGAACCTGCAATTTTAATGTTATCTTTCGCACATCACTAAGATGACTTTATGCATTGGCAAGATTGAAAATGGGCAAAAATTAGCAGATGTTGCTAGGTAGTTCGACGTCAGTCACAGTGTTATTTCAAGACTGGAAATAATTTTGAACAAATGGAATGCGTAGCGAATGCGACAGGGAAGATCATGTTCACAGTACAATGCCTGCAGGTGATAGTTACACTGCGCAAAAACAAACAAACAACAACAACAACAACAACAAAACAAAACAAAAAAAAGACAGTTTTATATCTCCCGTTCTACTGGGCCAATTGACAAAATTCAACAAAATTCAACTTGCATTTTTCATGTCTCTAAAGTGCAACTTAGGGTTTGTATTCGGTTTATATATAGCATTGCTCTAATATATGTATTTTGACACAAAATCTGACTTTTACTGAAATGGCATGCCAATTTTCCCCCATATTTCGATTCTATAGTTCAAATTATGCCTGCAAAAATCGCACAAGTAGTTTTTAAAAAATTAGCTCTCAAAATTTCAGCTCCTCAATATTAATTGAATTAGATATATATTTATTAATCTCATTTTTTTATTAAACTTATTTGATTATTCTTCCTTTGATATTTCGAAATTTAGGTTCATTCCAAATAAAATTCACCTATTTTTTATGATTTATTTTTAAAATTGGTGTTTTTAAATAATTTTTATAAATTACAGTTTTTTATTCAAAATTTTTGAAAATATATGTGAATTTATATATTGGCGCATTTTGAAATTTGGCATATTTGTTGAAAGCGATAATAACATCAAATGTAGTTTAGGCACTTTGCTAAAATTATTTGAAAATAGAAACGATGTGCCTGTTTTTTCCGCTCATGCACAATGTAAAAAGCTAGGAACGCTATG